ACTTCAAAAATCATACATTGTCTTCTTTTTAAAATTAAATACGAAACTCTGAACTTTTAATACAAGATTGAAAAAACTTTCTTTTAAAAAACAAACAAGCAGAACAAGACAAAAATTTTTAACTGTGCTATAAAAGGTCAAAAAATAATTTTTGCATGAAAGAGTTCTTGGTTCCTCATCAAAAAAACTATTTCCAGGTAGAGAGTATGCAATTAAAGCATACGAATTGAACGAAAACAGTTTTGATGCACTTCGTTGGACAGCGATTTTATGTGGTGCAGCAACTGAATACTTGGGCGTTAAGGATCGAATTTTGCAAGGAAAAAAATTCAAGGTTTCTTTTACTTCAATTTTTTCTGCCACTTTCTCATTCATAAAAAATATAAGACTGCTTTTTTTTTTTTCTATTCTCCTGTAATATAGACCAACAAGGCAGTGTTTCTTGCTAAATCATAAATGTTTTCTCTTTGCAGCTTACTAGAATATTAACTAGGACAGACCTGACAGCAAACAGCTTAGCCTGTTTGATCAATCAATAAAAATATATTTGACCCCACCTGTAAAAAAAACGCTAACCAATAATAGTGACAGTAGCATTTCACAAGTCTCATGCAAAGAATTTTTGCATTAAGTCCGTATATGACGAACTATCGTTTACAATCTGTCAGGCAAAAAAAATTCTGTTATAGAGCTATTTGGACAAAGCAATTGGTATCCGCTCAACAGAATACACTCTGTTACATTTACGCGGCAGATTCTGTTATGAAGTTTCCAATTTATCCTGGTTGGAGCGTAAAGTTTGCAGTACTCTACGCTTTGAACTTCCTTCTTGTACCATCGATGAAGCATTAGCTGACTTTTTGGCGGTAAACCTTTCCTGATTTTGGATGTGCTTACCACATTCTTACCACACAAAATTTACCACCCGTTTTTCCAAGCCAAGCCAAAATCATAGCACTTTTTCAAGAAAAAAATAAAACCATCAATGAAAAACTAACCAAAAAAAAAAGCAAAAACCACCTACAATGCTACCTGATTTAGGCAGAGAAATTTAAAGAAACACCGTGGCCAGAAAATTTGTTGTACATCGCCCGCTGTTACGCAGTTAAGAAACAAAAAAAACTTGCTCAAGATTTCCTAGAGCGAGCCGAAGCAGTTGACGAGCCAGATGAATGCGTTAACGAAAGTATCGCAGAGGTACGCACAATGATATCAAACCTTCTCTGATTTTATAGCCGCCCTTACCAGTATCATCACTACACTACATTCCCATTTGATCATCACGAAAATCGGGTGTACTACTCATTAAATAATAAATAAAAAACATCCTTCTTACTCACCATTAAAAGGAACCAAATAACTAACAGCGTATTGCTAAAAAACTAAAAAAAAAAAACAAAAAAACAAATGAAAATCTACGGCTTCCAAACAATATAAATTAACCAATCTGCTATGACTAAATTAATAATGTATCACGCACAACCAAAACTGCATTTGTCGATTCTTCACATCGTAACACAACAGTACATGAATCAATTTTATTTTTAGCGCAGCCACAAGATAGATCTTTTTTTCTTCTAATAAAATAGCTTACAACGTAACTTATAAACAGTCAGAAAAAAGAAACAGCTGCAAGAATGTTCAAATTACAAAGTCTAGAATCTCTGCCAAGAATAAAAGAATACACAGTTCCATCTGGTATGATAAAAGTGTGAAATATATTAATAGAAAAAAAAACAAGACTTCCTAAGTGGACTTAGACTCCGAAAAATACATTCCTAATCTGTCTAGTATACGTTAGTGAATATACGTCACTCTCTCTGTTTCCACAGACAACAGCAAACGTTTCAGAAATGTCTATAAATTGAAAAAGAAAAAAGATAAGAACACAACTGCGGTATGAAGACAACATAAGACAATAGACTAAAAAATAACAAGTATACTCCATCCTTTTGAAACCGTCTAATAAAGCAATTTACTCTTTATAACAACAATATAAATTTTTTATTATTTTCCCTACACTATTTAATAATGCCTGATTTGAAAACTTCTTAACATTAAAGAACGAAGGCGAGAAACAACAACAATTTTAAAAAAAAGAATAAATTAGAAAAAAAGCAAAAGGCAATATTTACACAGACTGAAAAATGGTAGGAAACTTGAATGGGAGATCATGGACAAGATCAATTAGTATTCAAGAATATAAAACTTAGGAATCAAGTGTGTGTAGCAGTCAAGTTACAAGCAAAAAGTAGGCACAGAAAAATAAAACTAATCTTCGAGATAAGCTCACAACAAATCTAGCAGTTACGGTAAAATAAAATCTCATAAAATGTACAAACCTGTAAATCAAGTATATCAAATACAACCAACAACAGCAAAAAAAAGAGATAAATGACCAGAACTAGTATGACGCACGAGACATATTTTTTATACCTGACTGATTTAAAGACAAACGGTTATGATGCTACCCTTTGCACAGTACTCTGCTGATTTCTAATAGATGACGCATTTGGAGATGGAGTCATTTGAGGTGGCGGTGGACTCCTAACAGGAGTAACTCGGTAAGCAGGCGAATTTTCTAACTTTTGCCGCAAAATTCCCGTCAAAATCAACTCAACGTTAAAAACGGCTGCAAATAAAACTCAAATAAACAAATTCACCGAGAAACACATTTCTAACAGTAATAATGCAGCAGTTAGAAGGGGTTGCGCAGTAAAGAAAGTGAGAAAGTGATAACTTACGCATCCCACAGTCGGTTAGATATTGCAACAAATGAACGTCGCTTTCATTACTAATCAACAACAACGGTATTTCTTTCTGGAAAAGTTTAATGTAATTACTGAGAAAACAACAACTATTTCAAAGTCCAAAAACTGAAAGTAGTGGAAAAATGAACAAAAATTGATTACCTGAATACATTCAACAACAAAACGAGGAGGTGGCTTGTCCTGTAAAACCTCACCACCGGCGAGCATAATCAACGACCTTAATTCATCAAAAGATGGCTCCACACTCGGTGTTAAATAAAACAATACATCCTAGAAAAGATGTAACTGGAAACAAAGCCGCTAAAGAAAAAAAATATCAAACCTTGGACAAATCCAACTATACTGCAAAATATAAAATTTAATTTTCAATATCACACAAAACCTGAAAAACTCGACGATACCGCGCTTTCAAAACACTGTACTTTAAATCGTAACCATATGCTTTCTCACTGTCGTCATTACGCACAAAATAATCGATCGTATCTGAAAACCGAAACAGAAATTAATGAGAAATTCCCATTGTGAAAAAATCAGCATTAACATCATGAAAACAACCTGGTATTAAGCCATTCCGGTAACCATCAGTAATCCAATCAGGACTGACAATATTTTTCCCTAATGCAATACCTTCCAGTAATTTCATAGTGCGCCATAAATTCAATACCACAAGATGAGTACAGTCTTCGACATTTTTTGTCACTGATGCACCCAAAAAACTAATTTTCTAAAAACCGACAGTCAAAGACTTAAATCACTTGGTCAAGAAAGAAAAGATCAAAAACATCCAAATATCTGTACTCTACAAAAGTGAAATT